AGTATAACTTTGGTTTCTGCACTTTCTATCCTGCTGAAAGTAATCTGTTTCTTCTCTTCTCTTTATAGTCTCTTTTCTCTTGACCTCTTCAGTTGCTGTAGGTCAGTCAACTTTATGGTCTGATGCATACATCCTTTTGGTCTTCAGTGTACAGGAAACTACTTTAATATTGACCCAGTTTTTTGTGTCCTATAGACGGTCAGATCAGATTGGCTGGCTCTGGGTCCACTCGCTGCTCTGGAAGAGTTGAGATCTTCCACAGCAGCACCTGGGGAACAGTGTGTGATGATCACTGGGATCTAAACGATGCTCAGGTCGTCTGCAGACAGTTGGGCTGTGGTTCAGCACTGAGCGCCCCTCACTCAGCCCACTATGGTGAGGGGAGCGGACCAATCTGGCTTGATGATGTCAGCTGTTCAGGAAGTGAAAGTTCTGTGACTGAGTGTACCCATCCAGGATTTGGATTATGGATTATTTGGATTATTTGGTACTTGGACCTGTGGACACTCTGAGGATGCTGGTGTGGTCTGTTCAGGTGAGAGGATATTAGTTGTATTCTTAAAGTCAGATTATTTTTGGCCCACTCCAAAGAACCATGAATGCCAGGTCCAAGTTATGAAATGCCATCCATCCAATAGTTAAAAAAAAAAAGCCAAATTCAGATCTGAATTTTATCCAACCAAGTTCTGCTTGATGTTGTTTTATACACTCCATTAAAATATCAATGGAATATATATGAATAATATAATAATAACGTTTCTTTTTCAATTTAAGTTTTCATAATGCCAGACCCCCTTTTTGCATTTTTTTTAATAAAGTTTATTTTAATGAAGCTATAGTATTACTTTGAGAGGAACCAGTTTCAAACATCATCAAATTTGAAAGAGAGAAGGTACAAGGCGTTTAAAAGTGTTAAAACACTGAGGTTTGGCCGTGAAACTCTTCCCTTTGAGTTCCTCGTATTGCCTTCAGTCTTTAGTAACATCACCATATAAGTTTATGTTAGTCAGCAGCAAACCAAACTGCAGCCTGTGAATTAAAATAACCCTAGAGAGAGGAAGTGCTCGAGACATTTGGCCAGAGGTGGGAGTAAGTCCTACATGTGCAAGTCTCAAGTCTTGACCTACAAGCAAGTCCCAAGTCACTGTGGTGAGAGTCAAGCAAGTCAAGTCATACGACACTCTGATGAATGAGCCCAGTTTCCGCATTTAAATCAGTTAAAAGACAGTGGTTATGAAAATGGATTCAACCCACACTATGATCTTCATTACATACACAGTTCATCATTTGAAATCTAATTTAGACCGATGACGATCATATTAGATTCATATTAACCCTAGAACTGTAGACAATAGCTAGGACTCAAGAAGTCTGTTCAAAAAGGCAGAACTCCAGGTAAGAAAATCATATATGGCATTTTCCATTACACATATTTAATTAAAATGTCTGTTAACACTAGAACCGCCAACAGCGTCAGCTCCTACAGAGATATCATTTCAATCATTTCATTTGTTCCTCTTCATCATTTCCTTATAAACTAAGTAGATTTAAAACTCACTTAATTGGGTTAATTTAGAAATGGCTTCAGTTTATCATCATAACAGATCAAACAGATTCATTTTACAATAAATCAAAGAATGATGCACTTCTACAAACAAAAACAACATAATTAAAACATTTAAACAAACTACTAAAAGTAGATGAACTACATTATTCAAAAGTTTACAGTAACTTCTGATAATAACACAGGGGAAATAAACGAGGCATCTCTTTTCCTCTCTCTCTCTCCTGACAGCCCGTCAGTATCAGGGTTAGTCAAAATGAATCCCTTGGCGGTTCTAGTGTTCATTTACCGTTTTGTCTTCTCTTTGCTTAATCGATTTGAAACCAAGTCTAACGTAGCTTAAACTTAACGTTAGCTTTCTAGCTAACACAACACATTCACGCACCTTTCTCTGTGGTTTTTTGTAGTGACGAATGAAGTTGGATGTTGTGGTGGTCGTGTCACTGATCTTTATGCTGCAGACCCTGCATACCGCTGTTCTCTTCTTATTAGCGTCATCGACAACATAATCCTTGAATCCAAACGTGACTATTTTTGGAGTAAAGCTAGCCGCTGCCATGTTAACTGACACTCCTGCCGTCTAGTGGGTTGCCAGGTTTGCTCGCATGGCGCTATAATCACCCAATCACGTTTCGAAAAAACTAAATGTAATATCTCAATACAAAAACAAACGCAAACATTTAATTTTAAACAGTCAAGTCCTTTCAAGTCATCTATCTCAAGCTTAAGTCAAGTCTCAAGTCATGAATACCAAGTCCAAGTCAAGTCTTTTATCAATGTTAGTCAAGCAAGTCTCAAGTCAAAAAATATGCGACTCGAGTCAAGTCATGTGACTCGAGTCCCCACCTCTGGTATTTAGCGACTGCTTTGGCCACGCTTTTCATGGGGCAATCTAGCCTGCCCTGCATCATTGTTTTAGACATACAGATTGAACCATATGTCTATACATTACTCTGTATTTGCGGACGTGTACTACTACAGCTGGGAAGAGACTTCTTTATTTTTGAGTCAATGTTGGAAGTACATGTGAGAATGATTTATTGGCCGGTGACTTTGAGGATCCATCTTCTTAAGTACATACATTTAGAATGATTCAGCATGTACTGTAATTGTATTGTATTGTTTGTTAAATACTGTAAATCAGATCTGTGAAAAAAGGTGTGCATCACCAACAGCTGTTCAAAAAGCATTCACATTCATTTATGATGTAATATTAAAAAAAGAAATACCACCAAAAACTCTTAAAATATTAAAGTGTATAACTTTGTATTATTTAGTTCTCTGCTAGATAAATTCAAATGTAACGCATGTAATGCAAAATTCTTAATTTACTCAAATAACTTTGACTCTATTTTATTAAACAAATGGGGCCAGATTAAGATTTTGGAATGACTTTGTAAATTATAAAATGAAGCACCAGTTAAATAGAGTTATACAGTTTCCTTCCCTACCCGATGGTGTGAGCGCTGTCAATGAAGCCAGTTATACAAATTCAGTTGAAGAAATAATAAATCCTCTGTTATTTTGCCGACCTAAATAAAATGTAATAACAGTGAGAAAAAACCTACTGAGATGCGCACCATGCGTCTGTTTTGACCTGTAACTGTCGTATCCCTGCAGGGATGATGGCGTTGGGTCCCAGCGGGGCGGGGAAGACGTCCTGCATCCACACTCTGATGAGGGCCATGAGCGAGTGCGGCTCCCCCCACCGAGAGGTCAGGATGAACCCTAAAGCCATCACGGCCGCGCAGATGTTCGGCATGCTGGACGTCACCACCAACGACTGGACCGACGGCATCTTCTCCACCCTGTGGAGGAAGACCCTGAAGGCCAAGAAGGTGGGCGGGATATCACAGCACGGATTCATGAGGGAACGGTTAACAGAACTTCACTATTCACTCTGAGCACGGGGATGTTTCTATCTTTCTTTGTCATCAAGTTAAAGTGTAATAGCGTTTTCAGACTTTTTTTGTTTAAATCACAGTAAGAGGAATAGTTTAATAAGAAAACCTATATGAACACATTGGTCTCCCAAATAGCTCTATTATATACAGTATAACACAATCTTTTTGATCCTGATTTTAAGTTAATCAGGTAGGTGCGTTACTCGTCAGTGCATAGTTTTTACTTCAAGAAATTGAACACTGGGTATTGATATAAAAATGATGATGTGTGTGTGTCAGGGTGAATATGTCTGGATCGTGCTGGACGGTCCGGTGGACGCCATCTGGATCGAGAACCTGAACTCCGTTCTGGACGACAACAAAACGTTGACGCTGGCGAATGGAGACCGGATCCCTATGGCTCCCTGCTGCAAGGTGCCTTACAAAGCACATTAACCAAAACATTAGATACTGAAACACATTGAAAAACATCCATACAAAAGCCAAGATAATAGAAATCAGGAAAAAAATGTATAATAAAGTTATAAAATACAAGAATAAAAGTTACATTGCAGTGTATACTGAATGCATTGCTATGTGATTAACCCTCCTGTTGTGTTTGGGTCAAATCTGACCGATTTACTAATTTCATCAATTGTTTTACATTCGATTGCATTAAGGCTTTATGATATCCTTCACAGTAGACATTTGAACATATCAAATTGCTGATCACCACTTTCATTGAACTTTGGATGATTTGACCATCAAAAATGACCGCCATAAAGAAAAGGAATTAGTAACCATCCGGATCAGATAAAACACACACACACACACACACACACACACACACACACACACACACACACACACACACACACACACACACACACACACACACACACACACACACATTAATGATTGATGATGATGATTAATGGTTTTTGTGTTAATGTAATAGCAGTTAAAACAGGACTGGTCCGCGAACACCAAAGTAAGGGGGGTAAAGAAGACAATAAGAGGGTTAAATAGAAAACAAATAAAAGTATTTAGCGTAAATGACGGTGTATATATATATACATGGTAAATGGACTTAATTTGTATAGTGCTTTTCCAATCTTTGTAACCTCTCGATGCACATTTATAGTACCAATACGAGTCAGCATTCACCCATTCAAACAAGTTTATTCAGAAGCAGAGACTGCAAACAGAAATATATGTTGGTGTTAACCCAGGGCTGCCAACACTCACGCATTGAGCGTGAGAGTCACGCAATTAACCCATATCTCACACACTCACGCCACACTTGCCTTTCCT